TGCATGAATGATGAGGAAAAACTCAGATGTGACAAAATGTTGTGAGTGCTTTTGCACATAGCTGAAAATTTAGTAGTGTTGGGCTCACGCAGTCATGAAATCCTTTAACATCCAGCTCAACCAGCACCTTTTTGACTGGTTCTACTCGGTCATAAGATATATGAGTGGAAGCCAAAAACCAGCCAAATTCAGTTTAGGTATGTGATGCCTAAATTAAGCATGAGTTATGACATTTATTTTTTTAAATGACACACTTTTACCATAAGGCTCACCCCAACTGTGAAAAAAAAAAAACATTGATTCTGGTTGTTATTGCTCCAAAAAATGCTAAGAAATATTGTAGATGTCAAAGAGTGTAGAGTTGTTACTTGTACTTTTGTGTATGTATGTAGGTACAAGCATGGTGTACTGTCCAGGGTGTGCCCAACCTCTCTCTGTGTCAGCTTGAATGACCAAATTAAGTCCCACAAACGTTCATTAATGAGTCTAAATTCCAAATTTGGTTTGTCCTAAATCTCAGCCAAAAAGAACTTACTAAGGCTGTAAAATTCAGTCCAAATACTAGAAGCATAATTCTTAAGCAGCCAAGTATGTGGTTGATTAATTGGGTCAGTGCACTCTAATATGATTGTTAAGGTCAAGTAAATATAATAGCTCTATGGGCTTTTTTCATTACCTTCTCTGTGGTTGCAGACACCACCAACCATCTTGCTCTACTACGGGCCTCTGCCATTAATACCATCATCATTTCACTCCTTTAATGCACATGAAACTCAGACACATGAGCTCACATCGTTTTCACACAACCCGAAGTAAGTAGGAAGAAAATTGCACTTCAGGTTTCTACCGATATCACATTCATCACCTCTCAGGCTCAAACCCGATAGACAGTGCTATGGATTCCTCGAATTATGGCTCGTGCTGCTCAGTGGTATTTTGATGAGGGGAAGATTACACAGCAACCAGGCACTGGCTTGGGTTGGAAGCTGGTCGTTATTTAGATCAGCCAGGCCTGCCCTTTGTGCCGATTACCCCCGTTCTTTCTTCACTGGTATAGCACGGATATGTGATTGCAATTGATTGGAGACTGCTCATCATTCCTCCTGGGGCAACATCAGGAGTCATGGCAGAAATGTGCAAGTAGATGCATGAAGAATGAACCAGGCAAAAGGGCTTCCATAAAGGAAAAAGTCAATGAAGAACATACAGTTTTGAAGGGTAACATGTATATACATTTCTCTTTAATTAGAATTGAATCAATTGGGTGAAATGGTTGAGAATGAGAACAGACCTCATTGACTGGAGCCATAGATCATTTCCTGTAAGAGGAAATCCAGTTAGTCTATGGACAACCCTTTCAGTTGTTTTAAGAGAATCATATGGAGTAGTTCTGGGCTATTGAACATCCAGACTAAATATCTGCAGTAGGCTATGACCGAATTAGCTGCCAAACACAAGAGCGCCAGAAACACCCAAACTAAGCTCTCTTGTTTTAAACTGTTGCATGTATGAGAAATGCTGCCATCATCTAATCCCCCAAATTCCTCAAAAGTGCTGCGTTTTTACACTCTGCATGCAGATCGTGTCCAGGCCCACTGTCAGCATGTGTTAACCATCTGGTCTGCACAACATGTGGAGCTCACGACCCACGGAAACCCATTTGGATCCGCACAGCCCAGTGCCCACGGTGCCGAGGCACTGCACTCTGTCCACTGTCGTCTGCATTTTAGGACGCAAACGTGTGTGGAAAGGCGCGCACGGATTCCACAGTCAATGGGCAACTGATATAACCGACGTAGTGATGGATCGTTTTTAAAATGTAGTTCTCTGTCGCTGCGCGTTATGGCGCCTGGCACTCCACAATGTGTGGGAGTCGGAATCTGTGTGGTCCATCGGTCAGCACTCGGACACTGTTGCTGCTACTGGCTTCTCTCCCACAAACACACAAACACATATATTGACACACAATCACAGGGAAGCGTTTTACTCAATAACTCCCGCACGAAAACTGATGGAAGCTTGCATCAAAGCTCTGAATGCAGGTAAACCGCGGCGCTCGTCGTGCGACTGAGTTGTCGGCACTGATGGAAAGCTGGGGCATTTAACCTAGAAAAACACAAGCTCCAGCACACGCGCGTGCATGCATGCATCACCAGTTTTTATCCCCCGCGTGAATCCTCCCTCGATACTAAATCCCTTCTCGCACATCTGTCCATGGCGCGTACTCTGCCCTGTCATCCATATCTCGGCAGAATTAAACGTAAATACCAGCCTGCATTCACGAGACACTTTAAATCTCGATCCACGCATTCAATCACTTTGAGAGAAGGTTCAAACGCAAACCTGCAGGAATGCACGCACTGTAAAATAAATCAATTTTCTATAGGCTACACTCTTTTACAACAAGTGAGCAAGAAATGTAAAAAAAAAAACAACACAAAAACGCGCTCGGTCTGAAACAGGCTTCCATCTCCTGGTAAAACTAGCCCTGAGAGGCTCTGTTGCACCAAGAGGGGCACAGAGTCTGTCCAGGGCAGGTGCGTTCTCGCCCCGCCGCCGCTTCCAGCCACCGCATGCGATTCATCACAGGGGCCGTGCAAACACATGGAACCAACATTTTTTTTTGTTTTTATAAGATCAACCAAGTCTTTTTTTTGCACGTTACCTTTTGTTCCCAATCGATGTTTTTCTGATGGAGATTAGTTGTCTTTTTTTTCCCATCCAGCGTCGCAGGCTCACCAACACGGCGCGAAGGGATGACTGAGAGAGAGAGAGAAAGAGAGAGAGATGAAGCCAGAGAGAGAGAGAGAGGCAGGGATGGAGGGAGGGAGGGAGGGAGGGAGGGGGAGGAGGGGGTGAGAAGGCATAGACCTCTGCGTAGAGGCATATAGTTTAACTGCAGTGAGCATCTCCACCTCTCCAGCTGTCTTACCCCCCCTCTTCTTTTCTCGGTGTAAACCTGAAGACACACCGGGGATGAATTTGTTAACAGGTGTGGCGATGTGAATAGGAAATAGCGTTGATACATTGAATAAAACATAAAGGGGATATATGATTACTTCATGCCTGGCGCGCTAGAGGCTGGCAGAGAAAAGGGGGCCCTGCGCAGCAGGAAATCCGTCAACTTTATGAAGGCCAGGCTGCTCACAAACAGGGAAGCCACGGCTAAATCAGTCAGACTGGCCTTTGTAAGTCGTGACTGGCCCTTACCAGGAGGATCAGACAGATGCAGAGGAAGAGGCAAAGAAGAAGGGTGGGACCGCACAGTTTCTGTAGAATGAACACTTTGTGACAGATGTGAATTATTAAACATTTTAACATGCATGCTAAAAGCAACAACCTGCATGAGGACTGCATTGAAATGTTCAATATTTCTCCTCACAGCGGTGGACAATAAAAGATTCATTCATGGCAGAATAGCCTCACAGACGCTTGAAATTCATCTTCTTGTGCGGTCCTTCAACAACATAACTGAGATAAAGCAGCATATGTAAGTGGTTTTCAGTTAGTAGTAATGCAGTAGAATACATTTACATTTTTCCTCCAGTACATCACATTCTGTCAGAGCATCAACAGAAATGTCACTGATGATTACACCTCTTTTTAAATCATCTGTGTATACTGCCCTTAAGTACTTTGAAATATTGTTTTGTTACCTTTAGTGCCTTTGCACTTTTATTTCAAGATTGTCATTTGCATTTGAAAAGTGTTTAGAGTTATGAAAACAGAATGTTCCACATTTGTGCAACGTGATGATCAACATGCATCTTTAATCAGTTTGCTTGCATAAACATGTATTTTTGATAACTAAACCAAACCAGCTGTGAATGACAGATAAACAGGACAGTCAAAATGCTTTAGAAAAGGGGGGCTTCAGTAGGGGGTCCATCTCACACGGACTCTTCACAGTCCACTGACCAGTAGGCAAAAAAATAATGGAGACACGTTGCAGCTTTAGAACTCTGATATCGTAATTATTCCACAATCATTGAGTCTCTGTAATGAAGCTACTGTGTTTGTGTGAGGACCAGTGCTGCTTTTCAATACCCAAAAAAGGCTCAGAATTGAGGCGAAGCCATCAAAACAGAAACGCATAACTCCATTAAAGTTTAATTGCTCTGTATTTTCACTTGCTTGATGCGAGTTATATGTGCAGGACAGAAAGATTTGGCCAAATCTCAACAGTGTGCTCAGTCCCTTCTGAACGGCTAAATGGGCACTGGTCCTCAATCCCTAAAAGAAAGGCTGCACCCTTCCACTGCAAAACACAGTCTGGGACCTGAGATTGAGCTGTTTTTTCTGGAGCTGTGGGCTGATGGGAACATCAGGGTGGGTTCAAACCTCAACATGATCAGCCTGCCAAAACACTCCATTTTCACTTTTATCAAATAATGGTGGTTAGTTAAACATTGTGTCATTACTTAAGGACAAAGCGCACGGAGCAGACAGGCTCTCTATATGAAATGTGACACTGGTCGTTTCCTCACGTTCATTCCTGACTCTGTGCTCCAGCCAGTGACATAACTGAATTTTTTTCTGATTTTACCGTGCCTGTTCCCTCCACAAACTGGGAATATGTTCATTATACACACATGGGACAATAGAGCAGGTGATTATGGAAAATGTGATGCTCTTAGGTTCATACATGTCTGTATCTTTGTTTTTTATACATACACATCTACATGTCTGTATCAATTGCTAACAATGGTTGGCATGATAAATACATCTATAGACTCATCCACCATCCTTGAAATGCTGCAAAACGCTCCAGTATCATCAGTTTTTGATAGAATATTGTGTTTACCAGAAGATTTTCCGTAGTGAGCACCGTAGTCAGATGAGAAGTGTCCTGCTGTTTGGGGCGTTCATGAAAGACACATTTCTGGACAGTCCCTGACTTAATATTAATGCATTACAGAACGCGATTAGTGTAAGCAAAGGCAGAGCAGAAACGCTCTTGGTGTGATGTCAAAATGTTTTTGTGTTCACCTTGCGCAGACAGAAGCTGGCAGGAAAGCAGGAAGAAAGAACTTCTTGAATGGGACGGTGTGGGTTTGCCAGAGTGTGAGGAGACAAACGCAGACGACAGTTTCATCGCGGGCCCAGGTCAGATGAGGACCGAATGTAGACACACGGGAGAGCTGGTGACAAACTAACCTGAGCCCGGCAGCCGTAATTTAAATAGGTGAAGCACACAGTTAAAAACACAACCTTCCATTTGCTCGACACAGAAGTGAACCCGAAACCAACCAGTACACAGTTTAAGCCTTAGAAATGACTTCTTTTTTTTTTTTTTAAATCATTGGTGTGGTATTTGTGGATGCAGTGCCACACCGTGTTCGTTGATGAAGCTTTGCAGAAGTGTTCCTGAGCTGTGGAGGGATTTCCAAAAGGAGAGCGAGTGTGAAAAATAGTCATCTCTTTGCCCCACTCAGTTCCCCACAGAAGTTTTTCCAAACACTCAGAAAGATCCGTTTTCATCATTCAGGTCTGTATTCATCCATTTCTTCTCGTTCAGATTTTGACCTTTTACAACCGCATAGGCTGCAGTGTGCATTTCTCAGCAGTTTTTTTAAATCAAGCCGTGGGAAAAGCCAGCCACAGTGCATGAGGGAACCCTGATGTTTTACATGAGTGGACACCTCCAGTCATTTCAAATGAAAAATGTGCTGAAGGTGTGATCATACTCAATTAACACTCTCCCGCTCCTCATTGCTCACATGCTTTCCGTGTCTCTTTGACTTTCTCGCTCACAAAAGCAAACCCACACAGACACATGCAAACAATGTATAATTCAGCTCATTAACTCCCTCTCCATCTCTATCTCTCTCTCAATTTCTGTCTTTTTTTGTCTGTCACAAGAGAAATGTTAGCTCCACAGACTTCTGCTGTTCTGAGCCTTATTAATATCTCAATGGTGCTCGTGCTGGAAAGGAATAACAAAATGGCTTGTCTTGGCATGATAAAGAAAAAAAAAACACTTATCTGCTCTGGTCATGTGTGATGAGAAAGTTACTACCTAAGCATCCACACACAGCAGGTGTTATTTCACACTACAAGCAAAAATACAGCTAAGTGGATCTCAAAAACAAAACCAAGAACAGAAGGCAAGAAGTGTGGAGAAAAAATAGGAGAAGAGTGTGTTTATTTACTCATCTGCTGTTTGCTCCGTCAAAGACCATTGCCCCACATATTTACCTTTGCATTTCTTTTACAATTAATAATCTTTATTCAGCTAAAGCAGGACTGTACCAGCTTGCTTCTTAAAAAAAAAAAAAAAAAAAAATCCCCCAGACAGTGCACTGCGTCTTGATCTCATTCTCATTAACCTGCTTAAATATTATATAATGATGATATGACTTATAATGCTCTTTTTTTATAGTTTGTAATGCAAATGTTATTTTCCATTTCAAATTTGACCCACATTGTTCCCCTTTTGGAATATTTTCTAAATTGAAACATCAGTGATCGTTGTTTAATGCCTGATCCAAGAAAAGAGTTTTTAAAATTATTGTCGTGTAGTCTTCTGCCTGCTATTATCAGGTAAATCTGATTGTGTACAACGGAGTTTTGAGTGCTTTTTTTTTTACCATTAAACGATGCAAAAAGTCTCATATGCAAAACATTTGAAAAGTTGTATGTATCAAATATGATACATATGGAATTATGAGGTTAAGTCTTAACAGACCCTGTCCTGAACCGAACCCAAGAAAATGCCATCTAATGGAGGTTGTACTTCAAATGAAACTCAGAGGGTCAAAGTTTTGTTTTTTTAATAATCATATGAGTAAAAGCACTTGGATCAAGATATTGGAATTGTACATTCCCCAAGAACTTAAACCTTCAGACATCCATTTTTCCTTTTAGAAATTCTTTCAAAACTCTTGGAAAATAATAATAAAGCCAACATGGAATTGATCTGCAATGATAACAGTGACATCAACCAATATATCAGACAACAGTCCAGATGTGTTCTGCCATTTCATCATTGAAATTACAATTTTTAAAGCGGTACAATACTCTGGAAAGGTACAAATTAAATCTGACATTTTAATACAAATATTGGAGAAAACTGTTTTTCTCAAACCTGTAATTCAAGAATAATTACTACCTTTTCATGTGGCCTTGAACACATTGGGCTGCAGTCAGTAACAATATGCTGAAATAGTATCTGAAAGTTGTTGTTTTTTCCCTTTGGTAATCAAAATACGCTTTTCATAATATGGCATCTTCTCAGTGTCTGAGTGTGGAAGAGGTGGGATGAATGTTTTGCAGCACAGATCAACACACTTTGTAATCCAAGACAATAGTGCAACATTTGTAATAGTGATGGTATTTACCGCCGTTTAGCAACGGAGGCCAAGCAAAGTAAAGATGAAGATGAAAGACTAATACGGACACACCAAGCGCAATCCTACACTGGAAGGAGTACAGACCACATCACAGGCATAAAAGAAGAACTGGAACTCTTCTTTTGACAGCAGAGAATGTTGAATTATTACTTACATTTTCTACTGACCAGACTCGTTTAATAAAACGTCATGGTGTTTAAAGAATGGTGGACACAGAGCCAAAAGGCCTGCCACAAGTTTAAGGGCAAGCCAAAGGGAAGTTCCAAATCAAAGCGGATGGCAGCAGTGAGCGGCTGCCCTGAACAAGTTAATTACAAATGCTCTGCTTTGGTGCTTTGTTAATCACTGCCCAGTAATGACAAAAAAGAAAAGAAAAAAAATGAAATCATTGTCACCAGTATCTTTGAGCTCATGATAACCATCAGTTAAATACGGAGCAAGACGTTCACAGGGTTTGATGTCTTTACATCCGCTTCCTCAACTCTGCCCAAGGTCCTGAACCCTTTCTAGCACTCCTGGTCTTAATTAAATGATCTGACAAACACCTTAGCCTTCCTCTTCAGATTACAGGATTGTTTACCAGGCACGCTATCTTAGCTGACTGGCATCACGACTCAAGCACCCCAAGTGTGTTTCCATGGCAACCATGTATAGTATTGAGGAGAGGAGCAAAGAGAGGGAGAAGGGTGAAGAGACACCGACGCTGAGAAGGGTAATGTCTTGTTATTTCTCTTCTCTCAACGGCCATTATTTTCTGCAGTTTAAATATCACATCAGAGATGTGGAAGCAGACTTAGAGCCATTGTTAAAGTCATTTAGGTCAATCTCGATAATGTTCATGGTCACAACTCTGTCTCAATCCATTAAGAACACCTCCAGCTCTGAACAGATGTCCTTTATTACCGACTTGTATCTAAGACAAACACAAAGCCAAAGACTAATCCAATGCCTTGCATTAAGAATATGTAAGCAGTGATCTGAATTTACAAAACTTACCGAACTAACAGCTTTGTTTGGTCAGTATTTTTAATCTTTCATTTGTAAAGTCATATGCAGTGCAAGTGAATTTATGCTCTGTTAGGTAGTTTCCTTAGCTGATTAGCAGACATGAGATTCATTTTTTTTCAAAATCCTGTGTCCTGTGTATGTGACGGATTTTATTTTTACACAAACTCAAAAACCAAAGAAAGAAAGGGTTGAGATTTTTTCCAAGTGTGAATGTTGACTGCCATCAGTGTCCTCATGCTTGGACACGGCAGAGGGCAGGCTGACCACAGACTCAACTGGGATGTAATCAGTACTCAGGCAGATGGAACACAGAGTTCCAGCCGATTCTGACAGATGCCGCATATCAGAGAGCGGAAATCGGAAAGAGAATCATGAACGAGCAAATTTTGACATCATGTGCCCACACATTTGAATGTTAACACAAAAAAAAAATCATGACATTTCAGGGTGGTAAAAGTCAAAAATGGAAAAATTGACATTACATATTTAGCTCATTTCAGTACTCCACAAAATAAACATGCATGCCAATCCTCCCAAAGAAACTATTTTCAGTGTTTTCACTTCACAGTTCTATTGCACACGTAGCAGATGTCTCTACTGCAATCTGTTTACTGGCTTTACACTAAAAAAAGGTTTTTAAAAAAGTAAGTGTGATCTAACAAATCAGAGACAATCAAAGAGCCATTTGTTAATGAGTGAAAGCTTATGGTAGTGGCATATGATGGTTCTACTAATCTTGTCATTTCTCTTTTTAATAGCAATGCTTTTCAAAAATCATCAGAAGTTTTGCACTCAAGCAGGGATCTCAGTCTCCAGTTCCTCAGATTTGCCCTGAAGGTTTTAGATGTTTTTTTTTTTTTGCTTCAACACACCCGATTCAGACTGATACACCTTCCTTTGTATTTTTGAATTTGAGATCCTTACAATTAAGGGGAAAGATTTGCCAGACCGTTGTAGTCCTAAACCAAGTCAAAATATAAATGGCCTTCTAGTAACATCTAGTGGCAGCCGTTGAAAACACAACCATGTCACACACTTACGCTTTGGATAAAAGCGTCTGCCAAATGCATAAACATAAACTTAAAAATTAGACAAATTTTTCTTCAAATCATTTCTTCCTAAAATGTTGGCAACAGCAATATTATGTTCCTGTCGTTATTATGCCCTGTTCATTTGACACTCACCTGCATCACAAATACAAGACCTTCTCTATCAGTGTGAAATAAGCCCATCACATCAAGATTATTCCATTTTCTTGTCTCGCGTATTAACAGAGGCATCTTATGAACCCCCAATTAGTATAAAAAATTTACACTATAAAATAATTTGCTCACCTGCTTTGACTTGCATATGCACTTGAGCAACATCCCATTCTTAATGACGTATGGTTGAGCATTTGCAGCTATTCAGGCTTCATCTATTCCGGGAAGGCTGTCCACCAGGTTTTGGAGTATGTTTATGGGAAAACTTGACAGTTTTATCAGAAGTGCATTTGTGAGGTCATTCGAAGATGTTGAAGCCTGGTTCTCCATTTCCCAAAGCTAGTCCACTGGGCTGAGTTCAGGACTTTGTCCACGCCAGGTTGGGGTGTAGAATTCTCCAAAAGCCAAACCCAGACTCGTCCATCAGATTGGCAGATGCCACTTCTCCAGAGTCCAGTGTCTCCATGCTTTTCATCCCTGCTTTCGATCAGTAGCAGCTGACTCTGACCTGGACGCACCACTTCGGTGTTGTTGCCCATCGCTTCTATTTAGTGATATACCACCCACAGTTGACTGTGGAATATTGAGAGAGAACATTTCCTGACTGGACTTGTTGCACCTATCAGAGCGCCACGCTGGGATTCCCTAAGCTCCTGAGAGGAACCCATTCTTTCACAAATGTTTGCAGGAAACAGTCCTCATGCTTAATTACTTGATTTTACACACCTGTGGCCATGGAAGTGATTGGAACTGCTCATTTTGGTCATTTGGGTGGGTGAGAAATAACCTTTGGCAATGTAGTGTCAATACTGTAAGAACAAGAAAACAAAAAAAAAAAAAAAAAAAAAAAAATGAAAAATTGTTAAATTTTGGAAAACATTATTATTTTAAATTGTTTTAAAAGGGATTTAAAGTTAGTTTAAAAGATGGTTCCCATTGTTTTCAGTACTTAAAACATATGCTGCAGCAGCAATATTTAGTTTTGCTTAACTTTGCTTTATCACAACAGATTTCCTTTGCTTTGGCAATGAAAGGAAGAGAAGAGAAAGACAGTTCAATTCTGACAGTGCGAGACAGTAGCGGAAATTACCTTATTATAATTGCAAATTTGGCATCACCTTTTTCCAGCTTTACATAGTGATTAAATGTTATACTGTCAAAAGCTGTGGTTGGAGAAGCATTTAACTCACACTGGTTTGAGAACTGTGTGTCCACCCAAAACTACTACGAGAACATTTTACAGATAAATAAAGAACAGTTTACTATCCAGAAAAAAATTATTAATGTGAATATATATATATATATATATATATATATTACAGACATTTTCCTGTTGATATATTATTATATTATATTATGTTCTTTTATTATAATAAAATACTATATTATATTTTTGCTCCATTGTGGACTGATTACAAAGAATTATGTTACTATGTTCGATAGAAAAGGCAATATATGACATTTATCTATACAATCCCACTGTTGCCTCTTGGATAATGTATAATGTTGCGTCTCAAGCAATTCATTTTCTTTTGCGAGATAGTTTTTCCTTAAATGTCTGTCCTAAAACATAGTGTATTTATAGCACTAGGAACTATTTGTTGAGTCCCCGTTTCCATCCAACATCCTTGACGGATGGAACCTTTACCCTGAGGTTGTACGCACCGGCAGAGCAGCACAATTTATGTTTACCTTCATACATGTACTGTTAAATGTTTTTAAACAGTGATTATCTACACTTACAGTTGTTTCAGACACAGGTAAGATAATTTTAAACCATACGATCATTTATGAGGTTAGAATCGGCAACACAACACAGCTGCTATGGCTTCTACGCTGTTGCTATTTGCTCTCTGGTTTAGCATTAAAAGCTAACGTTACAAAGAGGCTAAATTGGATCAAACACGTTTTTTGGGGGGCGGGCGGGGGGGTTGTCTGCAGATTTGAATAGTTTAACAGTAAAGTGTCATTTGATACAATGCTGACTTTTGAATAACCAAATCAGTTAATATTTTATTAGCTTTTTCTAGCATTGATATTCTATACAAAGCTACAGCGACTTTTAGCTTTAGTAAATGTATAGCAAAGTTTAGGTGGGTACTTTCCTGTAAATTTTCCTAAACGTCTGATCCAGTGTAAGTGCTTAGATTACCTTGCATTTGTTGCGTTTCTTTAGGTTTCGCATGGCCTGTGAAATTGTAGTCACAGATGTGTTTAGTCGATATAAATGACTACCGTACTTATTGTTATAGCATCCATAATTTGGATGATTTCCACAACCATTGACTAACCATGCATTCTATTTAAATGGTGGATAAGCTCATACGTTTTATATCAGCATAACAGCATATGGTTTCTCACTTGTTTTTGACAGTGTCTAATCTGCCTGAGGTAGCTGTTGATGTGAATAAATCAAGAAGAGGATCAGCAACCATGACATCACTGGTAAGGGTTGACTTTACCCTCACCTACATCCAGACTGATGACTTTTCTCCTTTAAGGCATCGACTCTCTTGTCGTTATGTCGTCTTCAGTCATTGGTTTCATGTCTGAATGAAAGCTCTGTAAAGGTTCCACAGCAGCTTTACTAAACCTGACCCAGTCTGGCAAGCAGTGTGCCCATGTGTTAGCATGACAGAATCAGTCCCTTTTAAAGTCTCCGTGTCTTAAAAGACCTTTAAGGGGTCAGAGTTATAGCAGAGGCTGCAATAAAGTTAGCTGTTAGATTACATGGCACTGTGATGAAAAGAGGCTTTGGTTTGGTTTGCTCTTTGGGTGGCAGAGGGGGACATTTCTCAGAAAGAAATCTGCTTGTCTTACAGGGGAGCAGTAGTTCCTCAACCACAGAATACACTGTACGGGTCCCGAAGTGAGTAACATGAATTCAAACATAACATAATTATTTCATTGGTGGTACATAGATATACTGTATATGAATGGGAACTGATTGTTCTCCTGCTCAAGAGAGAAGGAATCCTGTCACTCTCTCTGACTTTATTTTCATCTTCTTGTCTTTCCCGTAGAAACACCAGTAAGAAGTACAACATAATGGCCTTCAATGCAGGGGACAGAGTCAATTGTTCAGCCTGGACACAGGTGGGCCTCCTGTCAGTGTAGCTACGCCTCCCAGTTAAGAGTTCAACTCGTGATGAGTGGAAAATCTGAAGATTATAGTTATAATGATGAAAAAAAACGTAAGCCTGTAATTGTGATGTCCTGAATAAATACTGAATCCCCTAAGAACTTTGCCCTCCCTCACAGGCTCGTATGGAAAGAGACATGAGCGCCCGGCGGATATACGGAGAGGAGGAGACGGCGGAAGGCGGGGCGGGGAGTGAGTTTGGAAAAAAGCAGCGCGAGGAAGCTCGGCGGAAGAAGTATGGGATCGTCACCCGCGAGTTCAAACTGGAGGATCAGCCGTGGATCTTAAAGGTCAATGGAAAAGCCGGCAAGAGGTGAGCCACAGGGGAACTAGAAAAGCACTGCCAGTGCTCCACTTTGAGAGGCCTGTAGGGCTGACCCTTTGAAGCAGAGCATCAAAGCTTGTTGGATCAGTTCTGCCTGTTTTCATTCACTACTGACCAGTAATAAGAATAATGCAGTATTTCCAAAAGTCATTTATTTAATTTTTTAAGTGATAAATTCAGATTTTTCACAGGACTGAACATGCAGAATGTAAAGGGAACACCAAACTTGAACTAAATAGACTGACTGAGCCACAGATGAGCCAATGTGTGATGTACAAATTGTGACCCGAGTTCTCTTGTCGAGGTCTCAAAAAGGAATTTGTCAGCCGTGGAAAAATGGGCGCATGTCTCCTTTAACGAATGACTCATGCCATTTAAAATCTTGTTAAACCTCCCCTCCATCCCTGTGTGTGTGTTTTTCTCAGGTTCAAAGGTGTGAAGAAGGGCGGCGTTACAGAAAATGCCTCCTACTACATCTTCACGCAGTGTCCTGATGGTGCGTTCGAGGCTTTCCCCGTTCACGGCTGGTATAACTTTACACCGCTGGCCAAGCACCGAACTCTGACCGCTGAAGAAGCTGAGGAGGAGTGGGGCAGGTGAGGAGAGGAAGAGTCTAGGATTGAAAACAAGCACCCGGTGACTCAGGCTTTAAAACGTCCCCTTTTTTCCTGGCAGGCGGAACAAAGTGGTGAATCACTTCAGCATTATGCTTCAGAGACGTCTCCGGGAGCAGGAGCGCGGTGACGACGACGACGACGAGTCGGACAAGTCTGGGAAAAAGAAAAAAAGGGGGGGCGGTAGAGGGGGAGACCTCCGTATTCACGATCTTGAAGATGACCTGGAGATGAGCAGCGACGACAGCGGAAGCAGCATGGGAGAAGGCAAGCAGAGCAGAAAACAGCCAACTAAAGCCTGTGATTGCCCCTAAACCGTCCCCTCTTTCTATGTGACAGAAGGAGAGAGCAAGTCCAAATCCAAGAAAGATGCCGGAAAAGGAAAAGCAAAGAAAAAGAAGGGAAAGAGCAACAAGAAAGAGGCAATGGAGGACAGTGACGACGGGGACTATGAGGGGCTGGAGGTGGATTACATGTCTGATGAAAGCAGGTCAGATCTTCAGAAGCTTTACTGGCCGTACCCCCTGCTGTGTGTTTCTTCCTGATAAAGATGCAGGAGCTCTGAAGATTACTCTTAAGATGATCTCACTTTTCATCTTGTTTTAAAAAAAAAAAATAGCTCAGACGAGGAGCCGACGAAGGTGAAGCCCAGCAAAGAAGAAGAGCACCCTAAAGGTTTGTGCTGGCGATGGACACACAGACGTTCCACTAGGAGAACGATTACACTCAGACCTTTGTCTTTTTCCAGGGATTGATGAGGCATCTGAGAGCGAGGAAGAAAGCGAGGAGGAGAAGCAGAATGAAGATGAAGCAAAGGAGGAGGAGGAGGAAGAAGAAGGAAAGAAAACCCCGGTTCAAATGGAAAAGAAGAAGAAAAAAGGTAGTCATTCGGCAAAGACGCGCAATTTGTCGGTTCCGGACTTGGGGAAAAAAACATGAACAGCCGTTGCGTAATGCATCAGCGGAGAAGTAAATAATGAGTCCCGTGGGCTTGTGTGTGGCAGACAGCAGCGGGGAGTCGGACAGCTCCGACGACAGCGACATTGAGGGAGAGACGGCGTCCGCTCTGTTCATGGTTAGTGAATGCCTGTAAATCCTTATCCATTTGACACATGTAAGAGTCGCCCCCCTAAAGACCAATCCCTTAGTTGCTCTATAGTCTTAGGTGTGAACCTGTGAGTGCCTATCTCTTTACATACTTGTTGCATGTTTCTGTTGATTCTCATCATGCATCTGTTGTTGTGCTTCCGTCCGCAGAAGAAGCGCACGCCTCCCAAGCGCCCGGGGGGGCGTGGCTCCGCCGGCAGCTCCAGGACCGGCAGCCGCCCGGGGACGCCATCCATAGATTCTGCCTCTACCTCCAACACGCTGCGAGCAGCTGCCAGCAAGCTGGAGCAAGGTGCCTGCTCCAAAAACACACACACTTTCAAACTGCTGGGCTCTGTGTGTGTTTTGGTGGCTCGGTTTCCTCTAAACGTGGCCTTTTCTGTAGGGAAGAGACAGAATCAGGGTGTTGTCACCGACTCACCGGCTGCCAAGCGGCTGAAGCTGGAGCCGAGCACTCAGAGCCCCGCTCCCTCTGGGAAGAGCACACCTCAGCCCGCCTCAGGCAAATCCACCCCCAGCTCCAGGTACTCGTATAGCGCTCCTCGTTGGTGCTCGTGCTTTGATCAAATCGTTTGAACCTGCAGCCGGTCTTCTAGGGCCTTTCATCCCGTTCAATCCAAGACCGTGGTTCCCTTTCTTTTTTTAATACAGTGACGTGCAGCTAACTGAAGAGGCAGTGCGGCGCTACCTGATCCGGAAGCCGATGACCACCAAAGACTTGCTGAAGAAGTTCCAGACCAAGCGCACGGGCCTGAGCAGCGAGCAGACGGTCAACGTGCTGGCCCAAATCCTAAAGCGCCTCAACCCGGAGCGCAAGAACATCAACGACAAAATGCACTTCTACCTCACAGAGTAACCCACAGCCACTACCAGTGGAGCAAAGTCTCTGTTTTTGTTTTTAAAGGCCAGTATTCCAGTATTTTGTAAAGAATTCTTTGGTTTTTCGTGGTCTGACTTCTCACTGGTTTAATGGATTCAGTAAGGTTTAGAACCTGATTGAAAAGATAAAAAGCCTTTAGCTTTGTTTTTCTTAGATAGAAACTTTTCAATAAAATTTAAATGACTCTCACTTTTAGTTGTCCTATCTGTTTAGCGTACAGCTGTGTATTTGGGAAGAAAAAGTAGTCGTGAGGATACCTGTAATACTATACAATGCAGCCTCTGGCTTTCCTCTGTAGAAGTTATCATATAGTTAAACACATTACTCATCAAGTTCTAGCTTAAATTAAGTCTAAAAGCTAAATTATATCATCCTTTGTTCATAACAAGGGAAGGGTTGTCTTCAACCTTTGGTTCAGAGGAGCAGAAACGTAATTTTGGGTCCGCCCCGCTTTTAAATGGCCAAATTCCTGTTGCAGCCTCTGCAAATCTCAATCATTTCAGAGGGGAGATGAGGGTTTAAATTTGGTAAGTTATTTGATTTCTCATCTGCCTTCTGACTACTAAAAAAAAAAAAAAAGGTGTGGTAATCCACTAAACATCTTCAGATTTCAGATGTTGAACAATACTCTTTTTATTGCACCCTGGGTTGAATTTCATTCTTTTCAGGAGACTGATCAGAAAGTAACTCACAAAGAGTCACTATATTACACAGAATATAAATATAAATCTATTTATACACTAGGGTCTGTCATTGTATTTTAATGTACATCCAACATGTATATGGAGAATTAGTTTAAAAGGGCTGTTTTTGTTTAAATGGGAGTACATCATTTTGGCTGAGAAAGTCAGATTAGATTGGAAGGTTCCGACAGATGACGGAGATCCGGCGCTGTCGAGGCACTCTGTGTCCATTGAACACAGACTCCTCATCCTTCAGGATCTCATGAGTGAAGTCATATCGGGCCTGGTCCCTATGCAGAAGTAAGCAGGATATGATGAAACAGAACCGCCACGCCCTCCACGTGGAAAAATATGTGCCTTAATGCCTTTGTCCTGTGGTACTTCAGTACTCAAGCATTAATCCTCTAAGGTTGTTATTAACTGCATAAACAGTTGACACGTGTTATTTAAGGCAAGTGAAGCATTCACTACACCTGAGTATGTAGAGGGAGCGTCGAGACAGCAGCAGGTCAAGCCATTCTGCGGGAGCCCCCTCCCTCGCCAAGCGCATGATGCTGTCTGACAAAAGGCTCAACCCAGCAATGGTGTTGCCACAGAACTGAAGAAGAAGAAAAGAGGACAAACACAGTCGCAATGCAGGTAAGTAGTGATTCTCCAATTTTAGTGGAAATTATGCAAAACGTGTTCCTTGAAGGCCCACCTTGACACTGTCAATATGAGGTTTGATGTAGCCAGTTCGGTCCAAATCTAAAACGTGCACAGGGCCGAGGAGGGGACTGCCCGTGGGAAATGCCACAGATCGGACACGGCTCAGGATGGCCTCGCATGCTGGCCCCCACGTCACACGCTCAGTCTCTCGGTAGCCGTGGATTGCCTGGATGTGAAGAGGGCGCACAAAAATAGTCAGCACCACAATCAGTTCAACCCATCGCCATCAATGCATATCCAAAGAGTACTCTTATTTTTAAAAATCTAAACCACAGAAACTGTTTACTGTTGAATGTGAATACATTCATTCAATATGTTGCATTCTTGTTTTGTGATTTACTTATGTCACTTGATAAGTCGTTGAAAAAAGTGTGCATGTCTGGGCTTTGACACTCGTTAAAAGACTTCACATTGACCATAGGCCTGCAAACATAGTGTAGTATTAACCTCATATTGTATAACATAGTAATTAGTTATTGGACAAGTAGTTCAGACTTTCCTTGCTGTTAGCCACAGATAGAAAAGAAGTAGTAGAAACAAATATTAGTCGTACAATGATATTATATTAGATTTAGCCAGTTTTATGACCACTGCCCGCGTGACCCTTGACACAACACCTATGTTAGCTTATCCCCAGCTAAACGCACCGAGGACGTTACTTACGTCGTCCCAGTGGTCGAATTCATAGCGTTTCTTCTTTAGGCCCGGCTCCAACTCTCGCAAAAGAGCGGCTTCTTCTTCCTCCGTGATGAAGCCCGTCCTCACCTCCACCTGAGAGCCCAGCGTCTCCACCAGCTGAGGGCTCGAGCCCACGATTAGCTCATCTGGAGGAGACAACAGCCCGCTGCTGGCGCACGAGTTCGAACGACGCCGGCGACTGAAGACAACAGCAGGTTTGTGGCTTTGTCTCAGTACCGTCAGCAACAGTTTCATCCTCCTTTCGTAATAACTTTAACCCCTGTTTATCTACTAATGCGTTTATGACAAGCTGCCGGGAGTCAGGCAGTTATGTCAGACGCCATATTGAATCCGCAAAGGATTGTGGGGGGAGTAGTCCTACAGCGGGGGGAAACAACGTTTGACTCATAATAGCGTCATTTTTTGCTTTATGCTTTATTTTGTAAACTTGTGTTTACAATATTTGCACAGTATAACGAATAGGTAATGGTTATTCGTGGAAATTTCATTATCAAATATATACATTTTAAATATGAGTATAAATAGTCTAAATAAACAAAGGCTGAAATGCATTTACCCCAAATAGTTCTCATCAGAGATTCATGACCTTGACTCTTGAGTGCTGAAAAAGGAGACTATCATAGATAAACAGTTCACTAAAGGTTTCTTCAATCATTTCTCAACAGTTCCCCTGAGAATACACCGTACAATTACATTTTATCTTCATGTGAAAACATCCAGGAGTGCATGCAATGCCCAGCAATAAAATGTGCTTAGTAAGTGCAAGCCTCCATCCTGCCCTCCTGCTCCCATGGCTTTCAGACATGAGAGGAAAAGAGCTGAGAACAAACAGAGAGACAGTGTAGGCAGTTTTTCTTTGTGAACAGTGGAGGGCACTGGACGCAAAAGTCTTATCAGTGAACATCCACCACCAGTTTCCAAACATTAACATGATTGGAAAAAAATCATGTTCTATTTATTAAACACGCCCAGAATTCTGAGGACAGATGTAATATTGATCTCATCTTCTTAGTTAGTCTCCTCTTAAAGGTCACTGTAAGCAATAAGGACAGTTAAGCACTCTCTCCTTTAAGAAATCTCCAGTTGAAACTGTTATCAGTGAAATGCAGATATAAATGGAAACTAATAAGAAATAAATCAGGCATGGAAAGGGTAATAGCAGAAGAAAGCCTGAAAATCAATCAATGATTGTTGATGTTTTACATACACTATTTTCACCTGAGTGGCTGTGTTAATCGCACATAAACACATAATTAGATTTTTAATAGGTCCAAATGAATCCACCGCAGGATTCTTAGTGCGCCTTCTGTTCTCCCACTGTTTGTCTCGGTCACTGAGCATCCACAATACAACTAACTCACACACTCCCCTCCAACACACAAGCACACATATACAACTGATGTGATGCCCATTTCAGTGTTGGATACTATCTTTTATCCGCCAGCATTACATTCATCCAGCCATGATGAATGTTATGGGTTCATATTCCCAGTTGATACACTAATTTAAAACTGATATGGTTTTCTGAATTATCACCGCTTGGCTTTTTGCTGGAGGCTTCATTATGACCTCTGTTGAATCATGCAACTAGAGTGAAAATCACCAGAAAAAAGGAAAACAAGACTAAACAAAACAGTGGTCATCTAAAAGGGCTCAAGTGTCACTTATCCTGCTGTGTAAAAATCCTCACCGCCATGTTAAGAAGTCCACGATCACACAGACGTGTGTCAACATGAGAAGAAAATCTATTCTATATTTTTATTTGAAATGTTGACACTCTGAAATGTTATTTTTCTTCTGCAAACGGGTGCACTGCAAAAAAAATTAATTTCCCGCAAGGGATTAATAAAGTAATTCTGATTCTGATTTTTAACCATGCTGTAGCCTGGCCTGGGAAGATGGCCGCGTTTTAGCCACAGTTTGTTTTTTGTGCATGTTGTGGACCAGTTTTGCACAGGTTAGCATGAAATTCTGCACTGGGTCTGTGGAGGGCCGGGTTCAGCAGGGGCGGAGTGCTCTACATGCATATAGCCATTAAATTATTCAGTCTTATGAATCATTGAGTCACGCCACTCCTTTTTTAGGCCCTCGCCTTGGAGCTCCAGCCTCACAGCCCCAGTATACTTGAACATCTGACGTAGAAAGAAAAACAACAGAGAGTTATACAGACAACATTCGTCTCCAGAGATGCAGTGCATAGCTTTTAAAGCATTGTGCGGGGAAACCAATAATTTTAGCATTTAATCAAAACACAACATATTTACGTATTCAATGTAAATCATTAAAAGTTCATCACTTTATCAAGTTTAGACTTCCCATCCCTTTTCATTTAATCAAATAATTGGTTGTTGTCTTTAAAGCTTTCCCTCCAGGTTTTGGTTTCCAAAAAGAATGTAAAGCATTATGTGCTATTCTACTGAAATGCCCATATACTGCCAAAGGATTTTTACAATGGTATCATATATCGGAGGGGAAGCTGGCAGAGGAGGGAGAGGGGATTTTAAATAAATGAATCCTTTTTATTCAGTCATATTATATTTACAGACAATCACATACGAAAGAAACTTGCTTCCATTTGAAATAGCAGTTTTGGACAGAAGGCTGCTGCCCCTCAAATGGCTCCAGCTCAGGAAGGCGGGAGATAATTTCACAGATCATCACACTCAACTGCAGGCACACAATTTTCTCACTACAAATACACAGGGTATGAAGACCTATATATCATACCTGGAACTGTCTAGGACAAAAATGATTAAAACTGCAACATCATCCAAATGCAAATAGTCTTACACCGAAACACCAGAGCAGATCAATTTGGGAATTATTCTTAGATGGACCTCCACTTGTTCCTCATTGAAGAAGCATCTATCTATCTATCTATCTATCTATCTATCTATCTATCTATCTATC